CCCCATCCCCATCCCCACCTGATGAAATTACCACTACAGAAAAGAATGATGGCGACAGGTTACAAAGTGATCATATTTTTGACAAATAGTTCTTTCTCCTGCCTGGCATCATGGTTTGAAGAGGACCCAACCTGGGTTTTGCAAAACATAGCTATTCATGTAGCAGTTAAACACTAAGTATTTGGCCTTGAATGAATTCCCTTAAAGAAAGCCAAATACAATGTCTAAGTGCACTAGTGAGAGTAACTTGGCTACTTCAATTTGGGTCTTACTGAGAAATTATGTCTCTCTCAAGGGGTAATCTATTTGTTGGTGTTTCCATGAGATACTTTTTCCTAAAATTTTAAAAATCTAATAAAGTAAAAAAAAAACAGTATTATTAAACATTATAGTAATCGGTAAAAGGTCACAAAATCTTTACATCACAAAAGAAATATGAAAACTCATTTTCAGGCAAAATTTAAATGAAGGTAAAAATACTAAAACATCAACATTTTCCAAAAAATGGCCATAAAAATGGAAGATAGACTGAATTATGTATTTAATCAACACAATCTTTAATTTAAAGACATTAATTTTTATCCATATAAACACATCATTTTATTCCCTTCTTGTTCTAGTAAAATTTTGAATTATTTATACTATTTTGTACAGCTAGAATATTACATTATACTTTAATATCATGTGGATAATTGTGTAATCCTAAGCCAAAAATCAAAATTCTGTCATCATAATTTGATAAAAGAGTTTAATGATACAACTTATTGTACTATAATTTCAAGGTTTTCCATTATATTTAATTTTAAATTTGGCAACTCTTTTAGGTACCTTAAAAAATAAATCCAGTATACATGTATACACTTCAACTAAGTAGAAATATCCTATAACTATTTTCTGTACATCTGTTCACTATAATGTATGTTTACATATTAATGTGCAGTACAAATTTGTAAACATGAACATTTGAAACTTTCAAAGGAAATGATACAAGCTTCTTCCTCTCAATATTTTATTGAAACAGCATGTCAAAAGTTGGCCAGCACCACACATGTAAATAGTTTTAATACTGGATATGTTTCAAATGTTCTATATATCTATTTGTTCTGTTTTATGTTGTCATCAACACCAAGTTTATTTGTACAGTTTTAATACAAATTATCATTTAATTACAGACCAAACCTAAGAAGATTAAATGTATATGAAGGCACTTATATAAAAGCAACTGCCACCAATGCCTAAACTATCCATGGATTTGTTTTAAATTGCTCCAATAAACATGTTAAATTCCAATGAAATCAACTGGTAAACTGTTGCTGTATACCAGGATATTGTTATTTTGGCTACTTGAAAATTTTTCACCACAAAGGCAACATATCCCTAAATTGGAGTAAAAACATTGTACTTCCACCCTGTCAATTCAATTCACAAAATACAGTACAGGCAATTAGACATTTCTAAGTGTATTAAAATCTGCCTTTCCACTTAAGTATATATAATTAATAGTACAAGTATGCAATGAGTAGGTGTTCTTTGTAGCATCTCTTTTTGAGAAGAGGAAGGAGAAAAAGCAACATAGTATAAATTATTTTAAAACAAAACTAAACTAAAACCCCGCTGGTTATATAAATTACAGTGTGACGTCTGGAATTGATCAAATTGCATATTCAGATAAGGAAAAGATTTGTTATTGAGATTTAGTTAGGAGATAACTGTATATTACTCTAATGCATACATGGACATATAACACTATTGTCTCAAAACATCTAAATTTGTCATCAGCATGTTTGTAGATTTTTGTAAAATATATTTTAAATATGTATGCAAAGCATTTATTTAAGTCATGTTCTGGCTTCGCATTATACCAGTAACACTTACAAGATCACGTTACGTGCTTTATGTGCACAGTGATTTTCCCCAAGGTGAATAATATAAATGAAAGAGAAGTCTTTCATAATGTCCAATACAGATGCTTGTCTGTATTCATTGTTGGCACCTTGTCAAGTAGTCAGCATTCACTGACTCATCACTTGCTGATTCTAATTGTTCATTTCTTTTTCGTGCCATAGACACACTTCAACCCCTCAAAAGAAGAATGAAGTCATGTCCATTCCCAAACCATATGTAGAACCCATGCCTAATAGCAGTGAAATATCATGAATATCTATCTTCATAGCTTGGGGAAAATATAACTCTTCATTGTTGTAGTATAGTGAATAGGAGCAATGATATCAATGTTTGAAGATTCTAATATTATGTAATCTAAAGTTATATATTGTACTTTATAATATAATGTCAAGGAGGCTTAGTCCCTCTGTTTCATGAAAAGAAATAACAGTTTTGATGTTCTGAGTTATGTAACCTAAAACTACATTTTTGTCTTTAAAATGTAATGAATAGAGGATTTATCCACTTAGACATGTATTTTGCAACCAGGCTCAAACTTGAAATCAAGTCCTTGATTTCAGCTTGACTGGCTGTTCCACAAAATAGAACCTTCCTGACAAGGAACTCTGACTACAGGTCTGAGCTTGACTGGGAGTTATACAAAGATAAAGCAACATTCACTTATTTCCTGACTCAGTGTACAAATTTTACAGGGTGGATTAAAAATTTATTTTCTCTAGATTTAGGGATAAGTCATATGACCAGGTCAGGTTAAGAATCAGATTTTATAAATCTAGTCAGCTGAATTGGATGTTTTCTTTTAAAAGAGGAGAAGGGATGGATATATATGAATGGTCAAACCAAATGGAAATAGCAGTTTTAATTATCAGATTTGGGAGTCTATTAAATATCATTTGGCCACTTTCATTTGCCATTTCACACCTTGTCTAACTAGAGTGGCTTTTGATTTTTGTAGGTTTTTAAAGCAAGCCTAATATTTAGTCGATGCAATTGAAATTAATAGAATTCCATGGCATTTTGTTTTTTATTCCATAACCATAGCCTCAATTTACTGTTACCCAAGTTTTTCACCATCGTATTGAGGAGTAAGAATTTATTCAATATAAAATAGTAAGGACACTAAATATTAATTGTTAGAAGCTTCCTGCAGATGAGTAACTTGCTCAGAAAACAGAGGACTGCTTATTGGACTTCTTGAGGTCTCTTTTAAGTCTAATTTTCTATGAAGGCTTTCCCTTGGTTACTTCTTCAATTAAAAGTATGAAATGACAATTTATGAACGTTATATAAAAACAGCTTAAAGTAGATGTTTATATTCTAGCATTTAAACTTTTGCCCCTGTATATTAATCACCTTTACCAATATAGTTCTGTATTATTAATTTTATGTGGGCACTATATAGCAAAATAATCTGAAATATAAAGCATGGGGTATATATACTCAAGCAGCTACAAAGCTAATGCTTTCTCTTAAATAATCATTAAAAAGTAACCCAGAGATTTTCTGGACTTTCTAGTTAAATACTTTCTGTCATTAATTACTGATTATCTGCCATGTAAGCCATCAGAATAAGTTTAATTATAATCTGATATGTGAGTTTCTGCTTTAAAAAATCATGATTTATTTTAGCAGTAAAAGTTAGCCTTCAGCTTTACTGTTTTGGAGTAGATAGAAATAAAGTGTACTTGCTGCTTTAATCCCTGATTGGATAAACCTAGGTAGTACAAGTTTTCTGCCTCAATTACTTTTATAACAGGTACCTAGTTAGTTTGGGCCACAAATAATGTTTCATCTTGACTAGAATACTCAGTTTGAATGTAACCACGTGCTGTTCTATCCTTAGCCCCAGAAATGAAGGGGCATGTGATTTTAATGAATATATAGGAAGGCATATTTATAAGGTACATTTAAGAGGAAATAACCATTGTGAGCAAAATAAATAATAATAAGTTTTTCCTAATATGTGTTCTAAAACTTAGAGAAAGCAGTTTAGCAGTTTGGTTATTGTCAAAAGTCAAGTCATGCCATTGTGATATGAAGGGCCTTGGCTTAATAAATTGTAGAGATAGTCGCATGAAAATTAAAATCTGATTCATCTTAAAGATATATAAATTAGATATATAGCTTATACTTAACAAGTCTTTTCAGAATATTTAGGACCAGGAAAAAGGAAAGTTTTCTACTTCATAAACTAAAATAAAATCTCATTTATGCTATTTTTACCTAGTCTAATTTACTGTGATTGAAGCATAAAAGTGGAATTAAATTGTACCAGTGCAATGATATTTTCATATTTATGGACTCAAATATATTCTCCTCCTTCAAATCATAATTCTTTAGTGTTTCTGGAGAACTACAATAATTTGTTTTTGTAAACTATGTATAAAATACCAGGTTTGTTAGAGGAATAAGTAAACAAGCTTTACCCAGGAATGATCCAAAAAACAAAAGGAAGTAAAAGATCAAATTTATTTAGAATATTTTGTTTTTCATTTAATCTTTGTGTTCCCTAAGGATTAAAAGGTCTTTAGGCTGCAAAGATTAATATTTGAAAGTTTATGTCCTTATTTGTACCTTAAAACTCAGATTAGTAGCTCCTTCAACAGCAGAATATAAAAGTATAAAGCAAATGAACAATGAAATTTTCTTTTACAATTATAATAGATAATTACAATGAAGCCAATATTCATAGATTAAACTAAATTGTTTCACTGCTTTCACGGCAATTAAATACATCTTCTTTTGGTCATTGTCAATATGTAAGAGGCAGCTGACATGGTAAATTGGCTTCACTATAATTAGAGACTTCGTTATCTGCAGTCAATTTTCACTGGTAGTCCATCTCATTAAATAATGTTTACTGAGTATCTTATTTTGAGACCCAAGGCCGTTGTAATCAGAGATTGTGATAGGTCAGATTTGACCTATAACAACTTCTTGTGAACATTTCATAAGGCACTTTAAATGCGTAACAGAGAAATACCCTCTGGCAATGAAGCTTTTTAAGCCCAATAGCTCTTAACCTTTCTTTGGCTACAAATAAAAAAAATATGTGCTTACATGTAATTGTTTTATGAATGAATGTGACTATCACATTAAAGGCAATGATTAATTGTTGGATACCAATGAGAATGATTGCATTTGCCTTCTTTAAAAGAAACTTGACTGTTGTCATTCACTTTGAGATGGTTGGCAGCATTTACCAGTCTAGATGGCAAGGATAAGTTGTACCTATAAAAGCCATAGGAAGGCTGTAAAGAACAACCAATTGCTTCCTGGGCAATGGGATTTGGTGATAAAATATTTCCAGGTGCCTGTAATCCATACAACATTTGATTGGCTGAATTAGGTGCTTGTAGACACTGCCCACTGAAGCCTTCAGAAGAATCATTTTTTGAATTGGTGACCCCCAGGGAAGATAACATGGGAACTTCCATCACGAATGGGGCTAAACACTGAGAACTGTTGCTGCTTGCTAGCCTTTCAGCAGCAGGCAAGACAAGAGGCTGCTGTCGCCAAAAATTAGTTGGGGAAATCTTGTAGCAAAGGGGCAGGTTGACATCGTGCAGGTACACCTCCGGACAGGGCATTCCAAGGGAGCTTATAGGTAAGTGAAATGTAGGCGGGGAGCAAGGTGGAGAAAGCAAGGAATTCAAAGGAGAAGGAGCCCCTCCACTAGAGGTCACTGGAGATGAGCCACTGCTTCCACCTGTGAATGACAATTCAGTCAATAAACAATTAACTTGATGTTCCTACTGAATCAGAATTATGTCCATAACTATCCCCACTTCATTCTTAGATTAGCTTTCCTTGCAAGTTCACAGTTGTTTTAACTTCTTTGGGAAAGAGCATGCTTATTCCTCTGACCAAAGTTGAATACAGTATCTCTACTACTACCACTATTACTTTTAGCACTACTATTATGTATTGTGTATTGAGCATTCACTATTCTCAAGAACTGTGCTAGGCACTTGAACATATTTATCCAATGAATTAAAGAAGAAGCCCAACTAAATATGACCCAGAGTCAAGTATATTTTACAAATAAAAATTAGTTCTTTCTGTTTTTTAAGCTTTAAAACAATACTGAAATAAATACTTGATTAAATTGAACAAATTGGTTGCTTGGTATTCTATTCTATACGAAGCTTCAGTCTGATAAAAAAAAATCAGTGCAAATGAAAGTAATCTTTATAAATTAAAATAATATATTTAAATTAATTAGATACTTTTTATATGAAAATCATGGATGGGGAGACTTTAATGGTTCACTATATCAAGAGTTAAAGAAAATTTTGCAGGTTAAAAAATATCAAGATGAAAATGAAAGTGTTTGTATCAATGTTGTCAGGTGATCTTTTATGGTTGTCTAGCATCTACTAGAATTAGGGATAATTATAAGGTCCAGGAAAATCTATACACTACACCTTATTTTTGTAAGTGTTTGAATTCAGAAAATTCATTATTGAGTGAACTTGATCAAGTGTTTTGTGGGATGTTTTTTGGTTTTGCTGTTGTTTTTCTTAACTGTTTTGTGTATATAAACATAGCCTAATCCTTTATCAACAGGATGGCAAATATCTTTTATAATTAAGCATTCAAAAGTTATTTAAAAAAATTGGTACCCCCTTTTATTTTTTGCAATTTGAGAGCATTCTGGACATCTTAAATAATTAATAAAACTGTGTATTTTAAATTATCAGTTAATGAGCATCTTTAGCATTTTTTTCTTTATTAGTGCACTCAGCGCTGACTTGGATACTTTAAAAGCATGCTGCCTAGATGCTATTAGTTAAAGTGATACTATAAAATAAGTGTTCCTATTTTTCTATGCAACTCTTTAACCCAAATTAATACAGTCAATCCACCGAAATATTTCACCAAAAGATTAGACTTGATCTCTTCAAATTTTGATTGGTTGTTATGGCATCATATAAAACCCAACCTACCTATAATGTTGATGATTTTCTCCGTAATTGTAACCTTGAGTTAATGTTCAAAGGCAAACAACTTTAATGGAGTAAAGACAAAAGAGTAAAATAATTCCATGTTGCTTGCAAATAAAGATTCCTCTATTTATTGTTAGATATCAGAGTAAATGAAGGTATACATTCTTCCACCACAAAGCCTGCATTGTCTAATTATTATTATCATTTATTCATGTAATGCACTGCCTGAGAACAAATACCTTGCAAACATTTTAAACGCTTATGGCAATTAAACTAATTGTGGTGGCTTAGTATTGTTTTCAACATTTATTTTACCTACTCACAACAAAAGGAAAATTAGAGCTAAGTGACTGCAAAATTTAATGGAAGTCATTTTAACATGTTCTGAAAGTTTCTCATAAAACATAAAATATTTATTTCAATATCTAACATATTTGCAAATAAGACCACAAATGCACCAGAGGCAGATCCTAAAGAATACGAGATAGTGAGTTGCTGAAGAATCCAGATGAGATCTGGAGATCTCATTATGCATGATAACTCAAGAAGATAGAATTCAATAAATCCACCATTACCATGGCTCTGCTCTTTTCCTTCATGCCGGTTCTCCTCCCGTTTTGCCTCTTACCTCTTCATCAAGATAAATATACACCCATTTGCTGGCAAATGCACTTTATGGCATGTACTTATCCCCTTGAGGAGTATTTGGTACAGAGGTTCTGGCTGTTGTTATTTCATTAACATTTAAAAATAAAAATTAATAAAACTTTTCTTACTTTGTCTGTCTGCACCAAAAGTTTTAAAATCCAGAGTGAGAGAAGTCCTCCATGGGTAGGTCTCTAAAAGCCCATCCAATACACCCCTGAAAAAGAGATTCAACCTCCAGAATGCAATTCCTGAAAATAATGATTTATGTAAACTTTTGAGTTATTGTGTTATAGTTTTTAGGGGTGAATATCTGAAATATTTTTCTTTTACAGCTGAATAAAATTCAGTAATAAAATATTCAGTAATTATTCCCTGAATAAAAACCCCAGGAATCTAGAATAAACAGTTCTAGAGTGGGAGAAGGCAAAATTTTGGAGAAAAAACATCTAGGTTCCTTTCCTACCACCTACTAGTTACAAAACTTAGGGCCTCTGAGTCTCTGAGCCACAGTTTATTTATCTGTAATACTTGTGAAAAGGGCTATATAAATATTATATGTGATTGTTATGTTATTTACCTGTTTCTTCCAGGATCTCTAAATCCTTTGGCAAAAGGATTCCTGTCTATTTTCAGTTTGGTAATCTATGGATTCAAAAGACAGAGAAAAGTTAGGTCAGTGTGCTCAGTAATAACACTGTCATCCTTGTTTTTTTTGGTGAGGAAGACCAGCCCTGAGCTAATATCTGATGACAATCCTCCTGTTTATTTTTTTTTTTTTTTGCTGAGGAAGATTGGCCCTGAGCTAACATCCGTGCCCATCTTCCTCTACTTTATATGGGACACCACCACAGCACGGCTCCACAAGCGGTGTGTCGGTGCGCACCCCAGATCCGAAACGGCGAACCCCCAGCCGCCGCAGCAGAGCGAGCGCACCCAACCACTTGCGCCACCGGGCCGGCCCCATCACCCTTGTTTTTAATTGTTACAACAACCACAAAACACTTTTTAACATGTAACATGGCGTGTTAAGTAAATGTAAGCATATTGCTAAGTCAAATTTGGAATGGTTATCTCCTTTCTCTCCTGGCACTTTGTTCTGCTCTCCTTTCTAACACAAGATCCACACAATTCATAATCAAACTTCCTTTGATGACAATGCAATAAGACTATCATGTTTTTATAATTGTGAAAACTTCAATCCACACAGTGCCGCTTGCTTCTATCCCGAAAGTCCCTCTGGGGCCATCGTTGCTTGCCTGGGACCTGGTTGGCTTTACCTGCTGGTTTTGGTAAGCTGTAACCGTGGTGAACTCAGTTTCTTTAAAAGAGAATGTTTTAACACCTTCAGCGGGCAGGGACTGAATCCGGGACAGGTCAACCCTGCTGTCCTGTTCCATCACGTGCACACGGGGCTTGTACTTGTGCATGGACTGCAGAATGATCTGGAGAAGAAATCATCAAATGCTGCCTAGAAATTGGCTTCCCCTCCTCCACATTGATCTCCTTTCATCAGCACCCCCAATATGCCCACACACAAAAGTAAGGCTAAACCAGAAAGTCTAGACTAGCCACACACAAAGACTTTTCTGTGCCATTTGGTTCCAGACAGAGGCCCTCAGGGCTAAGGCGTTTCCAGAGAGGGGCATCATAGTGGCACCAGTGATTCCATTTCCAAATGGGGCTTTTCCTGCTTCTAAACGTGGATGACCATGTCGTGTCCCCAAGTGCCACTGGGATGACTGCCTGCCATAAATTCCCTGGGCTTATGTTAACTGATGGGCAACCATCTGATATCTCCCCACCTCCTAATCCTGGGAGCCTCCCTCTCTCCTTTTGTGGCTGGTACAGAGCCTGGCAGAGCAAGGGCAGGCGAGGGTGCATCTGGGAAGAAGGCTCAAGATCGAGGTGATCTGAAAAGGCCTTCCATGGTGGCAGGTTGTGGAGATTTCCACCATACCATGCCACACAGAAAGCGCCCATCTAAGGGAAGGCAATTAAAGCCAACAGTGATTGCCAGGGAGGCCTAGGTGCCAGAGAGCTCTGTGAAGTGTTCCCTTCCACTTTCCCAGACCAGGAATCCTGCCTTAAACAAGTCTCATTTGGTCCTCAAACTCCCTTCCCTCACCATCCCCAACCCCCAGAACTCTCAGACGACAAACCAAGGCCATAGGAGCTACTTTGGTCACAGGACCAGAATTTGAACAGTTCTTAAAGACCACACTAGGGCACTTGGGAGAAGCCTCCTTGGCCTCTCCAGGGCGACCTGCGGTCTGACGCCTTGGCATCTCCCTCCCCTCCTCAGGGCAAAGGATTGCGCACACTTACGTGGCCTTTGTCGTCCATCTCGTTGTTGGTGAGTTTCACTCGATCAAAGCTGATGATCTGCCGCATCCAAGTCTCTCCCGAGCAGGGCGAGTCCGGATGAATATAGAACCTGGGAGTGATGCACGAATGGTCCGTATTCCCGGCTACCATCCACTGTGAGCTGTGGTACACGTACCTGAAAAGGTGCGGAGTGTGACTCTAGGTACAGCCGGCCAAAGCCATGAGCATGGGAGGAAGGCTGCCGGGATCTGGTACTAAGAGCCTCAGCCAAGGTTCGCCCGCTAATCCCCAAGGCAACTAGTAGAAGATCCAACTTGATTCTCAAAGAGCGTTCAGGGACAGAAAGCAAACTGTAAATAGGCATAAGTCATTAAAATGCAATGAAGTGCCAGAGTAAGTATAATGTCATGAGATTTCAGAGTCTGGTTTGTATTTCCTCGCAGAAACCACAAGGGACATTGATCTAACCCATTTTATGGCGCAGAGACGCGGAAAATCCTCACGCCTTTGGCCACAAGCATCAGGGAAGAAGCAGAGGGGTGAGGAGAGCGTCTGTCCAGCCCACCGCCACCAGTCGGCCTAGAAGCCATTTCTCCAACAAAGCTTCACATCAGAATACCCCCAGGAACTCGGCCCCATGTGGTCTCCGGGCTGATTTTCACATTGTTTCCAGTCTCAACTGCTCAGTTGGGCGCCGCATTCCCAAGCCAGCTCAAACGCCGGAAGCAAACTGCTTCTTCTGCTATTCCAGGCTGTGGCCCCAGCAGGCTCTTGAGCTGCGCCTTCTCCTTGCCGCTCGAACTCAGCACTGGGCGTGATGAGGGCTGTCTCCTAGAAAGGCTAGACACCCACTTCAGTCGAAAGGTCGCAGCCCGCCCGGCTGCAGGCGGCTCTCGCACAACTCCCATTGCCCCTGAGCCAAAGCGCTGGCAGACCTGTGCTTCTGGGCTGCTGGCACAGAAGGGCCTCTTGGCTTCAGGTCAATTCTGAAGGTCTGCCAGGTCTACCACTTTTAGCCTGCTCTAGGTAGAGAGCTTACATCAAGAGGAAAGGTTACTTGTACTATTTGGGACCTGGCAACCACTTCAGGCGAGAGGCTAAGGAAAGAATGTGACCTAGATGTGATAACTGCTAGCCTAGCCTTGGATGGTAAAAAAAAAAAAGGGAATCCCTCCAGGACCCTGCTGCCAAAGTAGCACAGCCCAGAGCCCAGTATGGCCCCCAAAAGTCCAGGCATTGCTTCCCCAATTCCTTCAAACAGCTTCCCTCCTAGCTGCCTGAGCCCAGATCCTCCCCAGTTTGCACAGCCAAGGCCAGAGCAGTGGAAAGCTGAGAGGTTTGGGGCACATTGAAGCACCAATTGGCACCTGCATTCCAGGAGTGAGAGGAAAGAGGAGCAAGCTTTCTCTTCTCTCAGTCTGAACCTCTATTTGAGCAAGAAAATTCAACTCCCAAAGCCCATGGGAGAGAATCCCACCCCTCATGGTAGAGTTTTCAAAATAGCGCTCACAGGTTCCATAGATCTGAATTCCCATTCCCAGCCTGGGCCTGAGGTACCCTCCTTTGGACCCAGTTACCTATAACGTTTGGAATCCACTGGCACCACATCGACGGCCACTAAGTACTGCTTCCCTGGATCCAGTCCTTTCACCTTGACCCTAACAGAGGGGAACATCCGCCTGTGGGATAGAAAATAGCATAACGACTGACTCGCTGGTTTAGAGACATTTGGAGTGGGGCGGGGTCAAGGACAAATGAAAAATGAAGGAATTCACAATACCCTTCCCATTCCAGGACAAGTTGAGGGAATGACATTTGCTACATGAAGAAAGATTGTTGGTTGTATGCTTGATTGAACAAGTTCAGGGTTTCTGAGGGAAGCAGAATATCCTTACCAAAATTCTCCTCATCACTTCCAACCACCACAATCATCAAAAGCTATAGAAGAGAAAGTAGGGAAGAAAAATCTGTGCCCCTCCCAAGAGTTTTCAGTGGTACTTTCTGTGAGACATATTTGGGAAAGACTTAAATTAGGAAGTCTCAAGATTCAAACACAAAAAATAATTACCCAGTTGCCATGAAGAAGCTGCCCCACAACAAAAGGTAGAAGTGGGAAAGGCCCACCTGAAACTGGCCTGGGCTGGGGACGGTGGACTGAGGTCTGCTAGATGGGATATTGCCCACTGATAATTGTGAGGTTTTAACAGAGAGGCCTGGCCACAGCTTAAGATGTGGGGGTGGCATCTGGCACCTGCCTTGGAAGGTTTAATTTTTGTCATATACCACACAGGCAGGAGCTGGGAGAATGAGTTCTTGGAGTCATGGTGTACAGGAAAGAAAGGCTGAGCCACTAACACTGGCCAGGCACGTCCTAGAATGGTAGATTGAGAGGCAGTGGCTTTCTAATACCTGTGGGGGGTGGGGTGGGGGGAGGGATACTAAAGCGTAAAACTGGAGAGCGGTACTTGAAGCGCCTACTATATGCTGCCCTTGAACAGATTGGGCAGAGCCGAACCTGCCGGCCTTGGTAATGATCATCTCAGTCCCAATGTCATGGAATCTCTTCCACAGGTCGGATCCTTGAAGCTCCACTTGGATAGCATCTTTCTCTTCCAGACTTTCGCCGCTGTTGCGATCGCCGCCGCCGCCGCCGCCGCCGCCGCCGCCACAGCCTGAGAAAGCAGTTGCTGAGGGCTCTGTCTTGGGTCGCTTTTCTGCTGGACACAGGGACACGGAGAGTTTGAGAGAGTTTCGCAGTTCGCACGCCCCCTTCTCGCTGACTCCTGTCTGGGAGCGGACCGGCTTTGTCTCTTCCCCAAGAACCTTGGCAGCCGATCCCCAAGTTCCCCACAACACCCACTGTAGCTCGCAGATAGAGAGAAAGGCGTCCACATCGCGCCCAAGTGAAAGGCACGGCCTTTCTTCAAATTTGTCCATCTTCACTCTTTAGGAGACTCTCGGTCCCTGAGGCTGAATCCCCTCAGAATCTGGGTGCATGTCCTGCTTTCTACTCCGAGAAACAGCCATCCTCTGGCTCTCAGGGCTTGGGGAGATTGGAGAGTCTCACTTCTCCATAAACATTTGGAGACCCTCCCCTTTACCTCAAGTGAACCACAACACTAGGGCTCAACTTGGACCTCTGAAACTTTCCCTACAGTCAGGTGTCAGAGGTGTCCTCGCGGTCCCGGAACGCGGCAAAATGGCTGGGCCAGGACGTCCTAGGGCAGGGCTAGCCGCCCTTCCGCAGCGTCTCAGGCCAGGCTGAGACTTGCAGATCCAGCAAGTGCAGGTAGCGGGCTCGGGGCTTTGGGGTTGCGGTAGGGATACTTACCCGGCTGCTCACTTTTCTTCCCTTCAGCACCGCTGCTTCTCTCCTTCTCCTCACTGCCCTCTTTATCCAGCAGCTCAAGCTGTGCCTCCTCTCTTGGGTCTTGCAGTTTTCTTTTGCTGGGTCTCCCCACCAAGGCTTCCACCGAGAAGGCATTCGCCCGAGAGCTCAGAGCCATTCCTGGAGGGGGTGAAGGGAATGCTCACTGCAAAGTTTCAACCTGAGCTGGGTTAGGGAGGGAGAGGGAGAGAGGGTGCAGGGGACAGGCGAAGGAAAAAAAGCGGAAAAATCCCCAAATCAGAAAAACAATTTCTGGATCTATATTCAAAGAAAAAAATTGTATGTGTGTATAATTTATATATATATATATTTCTTTGAATAGACAGAATGAAAGGAGAAGAAAATCAAACTGTAGTCAAAGTCCTCTGGAGTCTAGTCCTCCTTCCCTTTGCGGTCTCCTTCCTCCCTGTGGACATGTGCAGACCATCAGTCCTCAAATCCCTGCTTCCAGGACTTGGCAGAGCGCAGAGATTGGCAAGCGCGGGTCTTTTAGGGAGCAGACCTGCCGCCAATGGCGACTCAGGCCTCTTGGATTGGGAGATACTGTTGCATCCGACTGAGTGAATACCCGCCGGGCACAGCCTTCACTGTTTGTTTTGGAAACTGTCAGAAGCATTAAAAAAACACTATGAGTGACACTTCAGAGGCTGAGGGGGGGCGGGGGTGAAGAGGGGTTGGGGGTTGGCTGTAAAGGGGCTCAGGATAGTCGGGAGGAGGGATACACAAAGTTACTATTTTGCATTAAATTGTGAAACTCGAAGACGTGAAATAATTGCCCACAAGGGGCCACTTTTCCAACAAAAGTGCAAATATTATTTAACCAGATCCAGAGAAGTATATTAGGCTCTTTTGCTCTCCAGTGAGTACACTGGGGAAAAGTAGAGGATCACAAGCTTTCTGGGCCAGTTTGCTCTACAGTCTGGGTCTCAAACTGGGTGGGCTGTGTGCTAGTTTGTCCTCTCTATCCAGGTGGGGAGGCAAGGGCCAGGGCAAGCTGGAGGCTCCCAGATGCCCACTGTCAATGATCAGAGCAAACCTGGGCCTTCAAGACCTACCTCTACTGGAGCCGAATCTTCCCCCAAACAACCTCTTCTTACTCACATGACTTAATCAGCAAACAGCCTAAGGACTCCAGGGCCACCAGCAGAACACCAACCAGAACTTTGCTCCCAAGGATGTGGCACCTCAAAATGCTGGGCTCAAATAATTGATTCCAGTGTCTCCTGGAATAGCTTTCTGGGCTGGGTTTTAGTTTTCCTTACAATAGATAAAGGCACCTTCTTTGTGTCAGGAAGAGACTTCCCTACCACTTCCAAAGAGCATGTTTATGCATGCGCATGTGAGATGTCTGCCTTTGTGCATGACATTTAGTCATCCACTTTTCACCAGAAATAAGAAATCAGGCACCCCTGGACTGTTTTGCAGACTGCATCCTAACTAATGCACCTTTTCAGAAAGGTTCTCCTATTCTCCTCTGACACATATGTTCAAAGGGCATTTAAAGTCAGTCCAACTCTGCTAAAAATAGAATGGAACTTGAATCAATGTATGATACTTATAGAATGAATGATAGTATCTCAGTACTGGAGTTTGAGAGTAAAAAGCCTTTTGTGGCCTTTTAGTTTCAGCTCCTTAGGTACAAGTGTGCAGTGATAATGGTGGTGGTGGTGGAGTGGGGAGGGAGGTGTCCAGGTGGTCCATGGAAGGGAGATCTTTAGGCAATCTGGTGTGACTTTAAGCATCTGATGATCTCAGATTGTATGGCAAAGGGTTAATTACAGCCTGAACGCTGCTGAATTGTTTGGTTCAATAACCAATTTTCTGCTCTTCACCATGCAGGGCTGGGAGAGACACTATCCCTACCGTAGAGGGGCAGAGTGAAGCTCACAGTGCAAGGCCAGTGTACAAGCCACTTGGGCTGGAAAACAGCCAGGTCTGGATGTGATCTTGGCCACATCTCCATGGGCATTTGTTTCTTTCTGAAGCCATTAAAGGAGAGGGGGAGGATATTAGTGCATTTGTCTAGCCATTCTTACTGAGAAGATATGCTTTTTATCCACTGTACATTCTTAGCTAAAGGACACAGCTCAGAAACCGAAAAGTCAAGAGTTCATTTGTTAAATTTAGAGTGTTAATCACAATGTAGCACTTTCATTAGTGTCTCCTAATATGAGTATTTTCTTGCCTTTGAACCCTGGCTCATTTTATTGCTAAAAACCAGGAAATTACCTTGTGTAGCAAAGGAAGGCTTTGCATGTGTTCATACTGCTATCAAATGATGAAGGCCTTCCTAAGATAATAATTTTAATATTACTCTTGGGTTCATTATAGTTCTCATTTTCACTGAAGTATATCAAAGGCATGCAACTATTTATCCCATTTTTTTCTACTCAATTCATAACTTATGGCTGGTGGATTTTTTAAAATATTTGGATCTAGGAGCTTTGCCCCCAGAATTGTGAGGACAATTTTGTCCTTGGCTAATTTGGGGCAGAGTAGATGAATAAAAGAAAAATAAACAATGAAAAGAATATGCTCAGAAGTGATCCTACTTCGTAGTGACCTGGGTAATTGCCAGAATAGGCATTGCATGTCCACTTTTCAGCTGTTTTTGACCCCCTGGCACAGTGTAAGTAACCAATACCTGTAAATGTATCTTGCTTATTTTAATCCTCAAGCACTCCCCATTGAAACAATGAGCTTGAGTCAAATCTAGTCCTTTCTTATGTCACCTCTCTGCTGCTCTATTGGCATTTGAACAGTCATATATTAACTGAAGGCTCAATTAGGATTGCTAGAAATAATAATTCTTCATGGCTTGAGTTTGTGGTGTGTGAATTTTTCATGTTGGGCCATTCTAACTTGGGTTTTATGACTTACACATTTCCTTTACTTTCCCCACCCTCAATCTTCCCTCTCTTTGTCTTTTCTTTCATACTGCTTTTTTCTTTTACGAGTATGAGTCAGAATTACCTCCAAATATACTTTATGCATCAGCCCCACAAAAGCGGGCTAGGATTTGAGAAATGGCCACAGGTACAAGTTTGATAGTTTTAAATAAATAGTTTTGACATGTAGCAAAATATCACCAGCACAGATCACTTGAACAGGGATATACTAAGTTTATTCCATCAATAAATTTTTGGAGAAAGTACTGTTTAAGAAGGATCATTTTCTCTAACACCAGGTAAAAACCTGTTTTACACCCTTCTCCCCCACACTCTCTCACCAAATAACTCTGCATGCAATCAGCACAAAGACCTGACTTCAGATCAGTTGGCCACTTTCCTCTGGCTCTGTCTAATCTGGGCTGCCATGAGCCCAACAGAAACAGATCCTGTGACTAAGAAGGAAATCCTCCTGAGCTCTATAGACTGGGCCCGCCAAATCTCATGCCCATTTAATTTCCATTTACTTCCCCTTGGTATTTCCAACATATTTTCCCCTCCTTACTTTGGCACCCTATCCTATCATGCCCAGAGCATGTGAATAAAGTTTTAAAAGCTTCCATCCCTATTTTCATAATGATCTGTTTTTGATCAGGATTTTTTAATACCTAACAGCCACAGAAGTAAGAGTGGAAAATATTTGGTAGTAGGCTGAGGGATTTTCCCTAAATCCATCAAAACACCAAAGGTAAGCAAACACCTACCCTGCCTATGCTTAAAGCCATTCTATGCCTACTTTCACCCACTATCTTCCTATATTAACATTATTAGACAAAAAGCTGCTCCTGCATGAAGTGAATGTTTCTAGAGTTAAAGATACTCTTATCAATTCTTCCAAGGGGCAAAAGGGCATGCTTTAATAATAAAGCAATAAAGATATACAAGGAAAGATGCAAAAGAGGAACCACTGAAAACAACAAGGATCTCACTATCTGAATTCATCATATTTTAATTAGCGAGGGAGAAGGAGAGCATGAAGGAAGAACAAAGTCAATGGTTATGTGTGTTGGCAGGTGAATGCCAGCTTTTAATACACTGGGTCCACGGGACCATGACGTACACCCTGGAGGCAACTCACTCAGGTCACTGCTCAGTTAGGGGACTGACTAATTCATCTCAGTGAAACCATTTAAATAATTGCCAGTCCTCAAACTTCAGATTTTGTACCCCCAGCCTAAAACTTGACTCATGTGACGGCACCCCAACAGGTTGATGGAAAGTTGGAATATACATCTATTTTTATATTTTATGATGGTGAATCCAGAGCCATTTAAATTGTGTGTATGCATATTTCTCATGGAAAGTGATTACTGAATTTTTTCAAGGCAAATATACCAGTGACTGTTTGGAAAATAATTGGATTAGGAGGTTCAGTGTGCTAGCATTTTAATAAATACTAAAGCACTTGGTATCACTCTTCACAATTGATTTCCATTCTCAGATTGTGGTACTTGTCTAATTTATTTTATTACAAAGAGACAAATTTTGAAAACTCTAGCCTAAACTGAAACCTAGCCATTACTTTCCATTTTGGCAAACAAAACTTTGCAGTCATTTTCACTGACACATACATGCATTCTCTTGTCTTTCTTGTCTAAGGACCAACTAGAATGTCTCGTAATGTTTTAATAAGCTTTTGTGGCTGGAAGAAAATTTTCACAATAGGCATTTGTTTGTGTGTATGTGTGCTAGCGTGTGCTGTGAAAATGACCACAGGTTTATATTTTTGCATGAAAATATCTGAAGACATGCATAGAGAGAGTGATATGAAGCATTTTCCTCAAGAGCGATTTCTTTTTTTTTTAACACAAGTTAAAAAACAGAAGTTCCACCCTCTATTCCTCAACATTTCATTCTGGCTCAGAAAAGATTTGAAAGTCAGTTTTGAATGGGTTTTTTAGGTGACAGTTGTCTATCCTCTTTTGCTCTACATGATGTATTGATAAACTGGAGCCACCATAGAATATCTGGGCTCCCCAGGGCAGCAGAGCTGGCTTGAGTTGAGGATTTTGGTTTGAAAGAGATCTCAGTGTATTTCATCAAGTTCTCCAGAAAAACAAGCCAGCCTAGGTCAAGTTGTTATGATGGCATCTACTGACAGAAGACTTAATGGGTCTCTGCTCCCATCCCCCTCTCAGTTTCAGTGTTTTTCTTTCTTTGTGTGTCTTTG